GCGACGCAGCCTGCCTCTGCCAGCATGCCCCCAGCCGGGCCGCTCGCCAACTTTCAAGTTTCCAGGCTTGTTCTATCCCACTGTTCTCTCTCAAAACAGCAAGCCCGAGCACCAGCCCAGCACATGCACACCTGGTTGCGCTGCCTGAGGAGGAACAAGCGCGCCTGTGCCCTGGACCTGTGCTTTGGTTCAACGGGTTTCCTTTGAAACAACTTTGTCCCAACAGGACAGAAATGAGAAGTTGACCTTAATCTCCACTTACTGCACTCCGCCACGTACAGTGGAATGAGACAGGCTTTACCTAAGGATTGGGAATAGGCACCTTCGAAAATAACAAGCACAAGCTCTTTCTCGTTTTAAACACCTCAGCTGACGCGAGATTTGTTTCGTCCCCATAAGAGCATCGCCATCTCTGCTTTGTTTCTGTTGCTCAAGCCTGGCAAGGAGCAGTTCCAGGTGATGGGTGCTTTTACACCTCTCTTGCACAGGGAAGCACGTTCCTGTGTTGGACGCTGCTTCGGAGGTTCCTTCGGCAGCGAGGGTGAAAGCGGCTGCGGCTGCTGACGCGCCTCGCCCAGCGGGGAGAGCTGCGCGGCGGACGGGGAGCCTGTGGTGGACAGCTGCCCTCCTCCCACGTCACGGGCGCAGCGGTCTGCAGAGCCTCCCCTTCAGCCCTTCAAGGGGCGCTCACTGCACCTCACAGTTCTCCACCTAGAAAAGAACAAGAAACTGCACAGGCCTGGGGCAACCAAAGCTTCAGCTACTTACCTCAAGTCTTTCTTTCATATTTTAAAATGTCAGGCAGCCCCCCAACTTACCTCCATTTTGAAGGGATAGAGCGCTATTACTTAAACTTTTTCTGTATTTTCTTCCTGAAAAGCCAGGCCTTGGCTGGCTAACACACCGACCAGCTCCTTCCCCAAAAGTACCACCACCTAGAAGCAGCTACACTTCATGCCTCAGGACAGAAGCATTTATAAAGCCGCAGTGGGACGCACTTCCCACCAGAACAGCATCGAGCCTGCCCCGCCATCCTGAAACTGGGGATGCTGCAAGTCCCAGCCCCGCACATGCTCCTCCTGCCTCCCCGAGAGCAGCTCGGACTCTGCTGCCGCAGGGCTGAGCCTCGGGCCCGGCTGCCTTCCCGCCCCGCCAGCAAGCTGACGCGGCCAGGAGCCCCACGCGCTCCCTAGCCGGCGCAGCCCTGTGGCCACCTACCTACCTCTTCGGTTCAGACCCGCTGCGTTAAGGGAAGCGCAGGCAAAGGCAAGGCTGTAAGGAAACCCGCACGGTTTTGATGCGAGCTGACCCTCCAGGGTAAGCCACACAGATGTGTGCACACGCAGACTCCTGAAGGTATTACCAAGATCTCAAGCACTGAGGTGTTTCCAGACAGAGCAGTGCCACACGCCTCTCCAACGGCAACGCGCTGGAAATACAAGGAATAAGCATGATGAAAGCTGCTAAACCCCCACCCCCTGTGGTGGTGTGCTCCCCCCTCGTCTCTGCGCCCCCCCTCCTTTGACCTCTTTCCAGTGATACCCACCTGTGGCCGTGGTGATAGATGCATCTGGTCTGTGTCTGGTCCTGAAGGATGCATCCACTGGATGTGGGGGGAGACAGATAACAACACAATAGCCAAGGGCTGTTGTGGAATGTGCCCACCTAAGCACAGTGGTCAGTATGCAA